GGCGGATTTCCTCGCCTTGATCCTTGCTCTTTAATTGCTATTGTGAGGTAGCAACTTCCTTCCCGTTCGGGCTTGCTTGTTTGTTAGGAGCGCCTCCTGCCTCATTGGTAGCTCGCATTACTGGTGTGAACTGCAACTGTTTGCTCTTCTTGAGCCCTTAGGCTGTGCATCTCCTTGCCATGGCTTTGTCACTGTTGATCTGCCGGATCCCGCCCTCAAGAATGGGGTAACGGATCTTCTGTGTAGGATAGATGTGATGGCCTCGATCTTGTTGATCCACAGCTGGCTTAAAATTCCATTGTAAGGGTTGAGCTCGTCGATGACCATGAAGGTTTGCGAGCAGACAACTGGGGGTGAGTGGACGTCAATCGTTCCAAGAGTGATTGGCGTGGCCCCATTGAAGCCGGTGAGCGATCTGGCAAGTTTGCTAATCTTGGGCTCCAATCCCATCTGTTGGATAACAAATAGTTGCAGGATGTTGGTTGCGCTGCCCTCATTTACATGAACTCGCTCGATCATAGCTTGTTCAATTTGGATGCTGATGACTAGGGCGTCATTATGTGGCAGGTCAAGCTCGATCAAGTCCTTCTTCTGGAAGCTGGTAATAGGTGTATCCACAATGACTGGTACTCCCGTTATGACTTGAGAGACATAAGTCTCCTGCGCGATCTTTCTTTTGCGCTCCTTGGTGGTTAGCTCGGACTCTTGGGAGTCAGCTAGAATGGTGTTGATTTGAATGACCTTTTTGGGAGGTTCCTTCCTTGGCAGTTACATTGCACTTCTCGATTTGCTGGATGGCCTTCTTCGCGACGAATTCTGTGCAATGGCCTTCTCTGACCAGCTCCTCTAGGTGCCTTTTCCAGACGTTGCAGTTGTTGGTGTAATGACCGTGCTCCCCGTGAAATGCGCAGTACTTACTGGTATCCCTCTTAGAGGGGTCTCCCTTCATAGGTGGTGGCCTTCTCACCCACGGCTTGTCCTTCATTTGTACTAGGATCTGGTGGATCGGGATAGCGAACTCGGTGAAGGTCCCTGTTTTTGAGCTTTCCTTTTGGGGCCGAGATCTGCGCTTGTCCCGGGCTTTATGCTCGAACTTGTTGGTCTTTTGGCTTGCATGCTTCGTCGGGTGATCAACTTGCTTGCTGTCTTTCTTTGCAGCGATACGATCATCGTCCCAAAGTGTGTAGTGCTCTCCCGTCATGAACACTTCTGCCAAGGTTTGGCTTGGAGTTATGGCCAGCTCCCGGTATAGCTCGTGCTCGGTTGGCGAGCCCTTCTTAAAAGCTGAGGATGCAACTTGGTCATTGCATCCTATGATGTTAGCCTTCTCAGCCTTAAACCGTCTCAGGTAGTCTCGAAGAGATTCATCTGGCTTCTTGTGCAGGTTGAACAAGTGGTCTGCATGCTTTTTGACCGTCTTGTAGGAGGTGTACTCCTTTGTGAGAATGAGGGCGAACTCCTTGAAATTGCCTATCAACGCGGACGGTAAATTGTGAAACCAATCTTGAGCTGCTCCTCGCAAAGTCATCACGAACACTTTACACATCAGGGCGTCGTCTGCCTTGTATAGGATCATGGCACTCTTGAAATGCCTCAAATGGCTCTCAGGGTCAGAGTCCCCCTTGAACGGAGTGATGGATGGCGTTGTAAACTGCTTCAGCGGCAGAGCTCGTTTCACCTCATCGGTAAAGGGCGAACAATCAACTCGATCAATTTCCTTGCACAGGGCTTCCTCCGTGCTTCCTTTAAGTCGGACACCTCGGAGTTGGTCATTTACTAGCTTCTCGACATCCTCTGCTCGCAGGGTTAGAGTCTCTGGCAGACATCTTCGGTGCCTCGAGCGCAACTGGCTAAGTTCTTCCTCGGTTCCCAAGGGTCGATCCCCTTGGGTGCCCTGCCCATGGGGCAGATTAGGAGATTGCGCTTGTGAGGATTCCTCTGTAGCTTGTCGATGTGTGTTTGCCCTCGAGCGGGCTGGTGGGTGTCGATCGTCATCCTCTGCTTGCAATGAGGGTCGCTCAGGTCTACGTCTTCGGTGCCTCGAGCGTGACTGGCTAACTTCTTCTTCAGCTCCCAAGGGTCGATCCCCTTGGCTGCCCTGCCCGTGGGGCAGGTGAAAAGGTTGAGTTTAGGAAGATCTCTCTACAGCTTGTCACCGCATGTTGGTCCTCGAGCGGGCTGGTGGGGGTCGATCGTTGTGCTCCTCATGCTACAGCTCAAGAACTCGAGCTCCTTGTGGGCCCAAGCGATCATGGACATTGGATTGTGGGCCTAGCCTCTCGAGCACATTGGTCCTTGGACCTAACCTCGAACTGCTCAGAGTACGGCTCACAGCTGTCTGCGTCTCGTCTGCACGATCTCGCCATCTCCCCTGCCGGTTTGCCCCTGTCTGACCAGCCTGGGACCTCTCGAACTGCTCGCTAGCATGCTCGTGTGCCCTCCTCTCCTCGTCACGGGGTCCAAGGTTAGGGCCTTGATTCAAGTTGAACTGTCTGAGTAGCTGGCCAATCAGGTTGTTTTGATCATCGACCTTCTGTGTGAGTTGATCAACCTGTGAGTTAAGGTCTACCTGACTGCGAGTGTCAAGTAGAGTGTTGTGCATCAGGCCCAACGACATATGGGCTAGGGCTCCATTAGACGCGTACACAAGTGCATATGTCAAATGTGATCGCAGAGAAGGGAGAGAATAGATCTGCTCCAAGACTGGGACGACGTCGGAGTAGCCATGGGGCTGCGCGGCAAATTCGGTAGTTGAGTGGTGTGGCTGCTGCTGTGCTCCGATGGCAGAACAGCGAGGCAGAGCAGCTCCGGTAATCAGCGCTAACGACTGCAAGGTTGTGGAGGTCTCGGGGTCATGTGACGGCTGTTCTGCAATTCCAGCAGCTGAAGGCGGCAGCAAAGCACTAGAAGACTGCTGCAAGGAGTTGGCAGCCACAATTCTGTGCGGTTGCATTGAGGTTTCCCCCACGAAACCATGAGATGGGCCCGTTGTGGTGGCGTTACTCTTCGTACGTCTTGTATCAACCATGGTTGTTTGAAAAAATGTGTGAAAGATGGATTTGGAGCACGCTTTGAATATATCTCGTGCTCTCAATGAAAGCACCAATTTGTGGGAGCAAATTTCGTCCCACTAGAATATTCGTCTAAGATTCCTTCGTCTTCTCCACTTCTCTTTCTCCCTGCAAAACAAATCGGGGTAAAAGGACCACACCTGGTGGGTGTTGGCTAAAGGCCCTCCGATGCCTAAGTTAGGTAGGGTATTTCAAGGAAAACAGGGTGGCCGGAGCCGTGTGTGGTGGCCGGAGTCTTGTGTCAAAGAGAGAAAGAATATGGTGGCTAGGGTTTGTGAGAAATAATTTCTGCAGAGTTTCAGTGGGAATTTAGACGTACCTTAACCTTTGTGTGTGGCCATCTTTTTATAGTGGTCTCGGAGGCTAGGGTTTCAGAGGAATAATTCCGTACTTGGTAAGGAATTATTCCTCCCCGATTTGGCATTGATTTGATTAATTAGGGATTTGATTTATTAGGGTAAGTCAAATCCCTAATTGTAGTAGGAATCAAATCAAATCTCAATTTAATTAGGTAATTATCAATTTAATTGGGTAACCCCCAATTAAATTGAGTAACTCCCAATTAGGTTGAGTAATTCCCAATTAGGTCAAATAATCCCCAAATGGAAGGAATTATTTGACCTAGGGTTTTGATTTAATTGGTTCCCACATGTAGCATCACTATTTTTCTTCCATTCTGTAATGCAATCATTTGACCATTTAGAATTAGGACTAACCAATGTCTTTTGTTGCTTGAGTAATGCTATTTGTATCCCATTCACTAATATATTGTTCATCACAGGCTATTCTTACCTATATGGATCGCACGTACGTCTTATCCTTGTGAGAGATGTGATTAGTAATTAGTACAAATATTTTTATTGTTGTTGGGACATTCATTGAACACTCCTTTTTTCAGATGAGGGCATACTTCAAAATGCAAAAATTGTTTGTTATAAAAGTTAACCAGTAGGAACACTTTAGTTTTATGTATATGACTAATTATTGTATAGGATACTACTAAAAGAATATGATCTTAGTTTTTGAAGCAAAAAATGTGTTTGTATATCATTATATTTCTCATCTGATACAATCACCATTAACCACAACATGTTTCAGAAGTTTCTTACTAGTTACTTCTCAGTAAAACTCCTTCCAATCAATCCACTTCTTCAGTTTTGAGTTTTCTTGAAATTACTGAGCTTCTTGAAACACATAATTTCAAGAAGCTCAGTAATTTCAAGAAACTCAAGACTGATTAAGCTCAGGGATGCTTATATCCTGAAATGACCAATTTGGATGTTTTCTGCAATAAGTTTCTTGAGATTTCTGATACCCTGTGCTCAGGATATATGGCAGGATAAAACTCTCCCATGGCTGGAGTAGTGATTTTGATTTGGAAGCTAACTAGCTAAGCCACTCCATGGTACTTTTTTTTTTTTTTTTTTTTTTCTTCCAAGAATAAGAATACTGCAGAATTTAGCACTTAACCAAGAAGTCTTGTGCTGTTTTGCACTGTTTGTCTATATCTGTTTGTAATTTGATTCTTCTGCTGCAACATTTAATGATTGATTTGGGTGCCTTACATTTTGTTTTTTGAGAAACATGATAATTTGCTTACATGATTGTTTTACTCTAAGGCATTTGTTTCTTTTTTCCCTTAGGTGCCGCTGATCTTTTAGAGTGTAAGCTTAATTTTTGGTCATGAGTTCTAAAATTTCGGGCTTGGAGTCCGCTAATTCAGGTCATGAAAATACAGACTAAATATTTTTTATTTACAAGGCGATATTCTAAACTACTCCAATTTTCAAGTTTTTGGTATAACAGTAATGACTAATTGTTGGTGCAAGTGGTAAAATGATTCTCCGGAATATGTTCTTAGTTTTCGAAGCCGAACATGTTTGTAGATAATTATATTACTGATCTTGTTGACAAATTAACCAGGCCTTGTTTCAAAAAAGTTCCTTACAGGTCAATTCTATACACAGCGTGCCATTATTTTCTGAATTGATATACAACATGGTATGCACAGGATCAGGAAGCTGAAATAACATAAATAAAACTCCTCCTTACCCACTTATTCTGATAACCTGAAATGATGAATTTGGATGTTCTCCACATTGAGTTTCTTGAAATTGGTGAGTTTTCTGTGTGTCATAAACTTTCCCCAGTTGTATGGCCTATACTTGGCAGGGTTTTCTTCACTTATTAGCTCCTCCAAGGGCTTGATTAGGGTGTAGTGTGATGGTTTGAGAGAGTAAGCAATAGAAAACCTTTTCTTCTCTGAGTTCACCATCGCCCTGTGTTCTACACTATGATAGATATCATTGCTCCAAACCTGTATAGACATATCTATTTGTTATTTGAAAGTGGCCAAAAACAATATATTTAGCTAGCTGTAGCAATGAGTAGTGACTCTAATTCGACAAGTCATTGTACTGATAACAAATTTCAAAGTGTTTTGAGCAAAAGAAGTTAATATGAAATCTGAAGAGCGGAGAACCTGAAGACTGTCACCAACATTGATGACATAGGCATTTGGGGTGGGTTTAACCCGGATCCACTCTCCATCTGTTTTTCTCTTCACTTCCAATCCTCCAACTTCATCTTGAGCTAGCACGGTTAACGCACCGCCATCCTTGTGGGGACCAACACCAAGAGCTAACTGAGGGGAAGGACAAGGTGGATAGTAATTGAGTGTGATAGAAGTTGTTTGGTCTTTGAAGTAG